CCCTTAGATAAACCCAATAATTTTATTGCAAAATGCAATTATCCCTCGTGTCTGTGAGGAACATTTTTAAGCAGTAAAACTATACATTGAAAATTAATGCACCCTGAATGGGTTGGTATAACGCTGCAATATTTGTACCGATTATATTCTAAAAAATAAGAGAAAATAGTGGATTACCTGCAATTTTTTTGTTTTTGGAGGAAAGCAGATTACCTGCAAATACTATGAGAACAATGGATACACCATCAGGTCTTCATCAAGCTGTCACGTCTTCATGAAGCTCCGGCGCATCGAGCGTCATTGACAACTTTCTAGATTTGAGAATTCAGGAATAATAGGAATTTTGTTTCCTGTGTGCTGCAAAAATGAGAAACATTCAATATGAACCAAATAGATAAGGGAAATACATATATCTAATCGTGAAATATATATATATATATATATGAAAATCTCACCAATGTCATGAAAGAATATTGTAAGCTCGCATTTTTTACGGTCTTAGTCCATAAAAGCGATCATAGCATTAGCGCATGAGTGTTGAGATATACTCTGTCCACCTAACATATGGAAAAGTGAGGCCAAACAATTATATTAGTCAACTACACAAACATAATAACTCAAGGCAAGGTAAAACCAGCAGAACATTTATATATCTACTATATACTCACTTTAGATTCGATACTGAATGCACCATTTTGTTCAGGCTGGGGAATAGATTAAACGAATGAATTGGTGAGAATTTTTTTAAACGAATTATTTGATTTTTTTTAAAGCGGGCGCCGAAGATGATAAGGTTTGAAAACAACTCTTAAATTCGTCAAAATTGTGAAGAAGGGGAGAACTTTTAAAAAAATGTAAGAATTGTTGAAAAGAGGTCAGAAGGTTAAGATTTCAAAAAATAATACTGAAACCGATCAAGATGCGTAAAGAGATCAAGAAGGGTAAGAATAAGTAGAAATGGAACTAATCGTAGAAATTAGATGGGAATTTTTAAAACGAAAGAGTAGTTTGATGCAGAATCGGGTTAAATGGTCAAGAATGGTCGGGATACTTTAACTTGACGACTGAGAAATATATTGAAGCAGTGAAAAGGTAGAAAATAGAATCTATCTATCTATATATATATAAAAAGACAATCTATGGGCCTAATATTTTGACACGTGGCATTTTTAGGGTTTCAAACCCTAGGCAACTCTAGGGGTAGTTTTTGTTATTCTTATAGTTCTAAGGACTTATTTTGTAATTTTGAAATAATTTTTTACGGTTTTTCATTCCTAATAGTTATACGGATTTCTTTTGTAATAGTTTTTTACGGTTTTTCATCTGCCCAAATCTACAAACAAAACTTCTCCCCATAACTTCTCTCTCTCTTTCGTGCGATTTCTGCATCATCATCGATCATCTAATTCCAATCGCCGGGGGCATTCCTTCATCTTAATACAGACATCAATTGTAAGATTTTTTTTAGAATAAATTGTTGCAGTCTGCTTTTTTCTTTCCCAGGAAAACCAGTAGTTCTGTTTTTTTTTTTTTTTTTCTTTTTCCTGTCTCCATCCATAGAATCGCCTTATATACTCAAGGTTTGTGTGCATGTCGTATTTATTGATTGGAGAGAAATTTTCTTGATGATAAATTTTGAGAGAGTCTTCGACATTTCCGTACTGTTTCTTAATTTGTTTGGCTAAAATTTTTAGAAAGACATCTATGCGTTGTTATTGCCATGGATTCTAATATATAAAACAAATTTAATGTGCGTATGGCTGAAATTTTAATATTTAAAAAAAAATTGACTATTTTTTTTGGCCCTAATTCATTTTGGGAATTTTTTTTATGTAGTTTGTGCTGGTAAGTAAATAATTAGTTTGGATTATTGCAATGAAACTTCTTTTCTTATGCGCTTAAGAATAGTGGCAGGAGAACTTCTATTGTTTGTTGCTTCATTGAAAATGTTCCTCACAAACACGAGGGTTAGCGAATTTTGAATTTTGTGACCAAATTTAACAATAATATATTAATAAACTCCACAGTTCTTTGATCTTTGCTTTTCTTTATTACAGATGTTATTGTAGTTTCGTTTGCAATTTTCTTTCTTCAACCCGCGCTGATAAAAACTGCAACACCATAGAAAAACAGAAACCACGATAGAACCCACTAATCTGACATTTTCCAATACCGGCATTCCGCGATAGTCTTAAAATAATTTCTATTAACCATGTTTTTCAAATTTATGTTATGTGTTCTGAAAAACAATTTAATATCTGCAACAGTTTGTTCATTCTATAGAGATTACAAGCTCTTTAAATGTATTTGTTTTACTTGCAGGTTTGTCAACACAAGTAATAATTTATTAAGATGTCGACACAAGCAACAATTGGAACTTATTATTGTGCTTCGATTCATTTTTCTGTTGGATATTTGCTGATTGTTAATTATTGTTGCTAATTTCAGGTCACCTACGGATCATAAATGGTTGAGAGACCTCATTAATGGCATATTTCGCCTGAACTGGTTTGGAGCAAAGAGTTGGAAAGAATGAAAATATTAATGAGGAATACTGGAATAACAGTAGCAACCTTTTTTGGAAGGCGCGGAAGCATCAGTACTACAGGTAAATAATTTGTTTATGAATTGGAAAAAAAAAAACAGAAATGATAGAATATGCAACTCCCCAGCATTTAATAACTAATATCAATGTGATTAATCAACAAATTTTATGCACAACTCTCTAATTTAAGAAAAAGTCTGAATGTTTAACTAATTGCTGAATCCAAGAAACAATACATTCAAATTTGGATAGTAAGATTTTTCGAGTTTTTCCTGACAGTTGTCAGATGGAATAGGTATAGGTTACTCAATCACATTTGATGACCAGGTATAATCTAAAGGCTAGACGTAAAGCCTTTGGTGAGGTGCACGTTGATAGCAATATCCCAGAGGCTGAGTTATTGGAAGAAGATGATAGTGTTAGCAGTGATGACATAGACGAGCATAGAGATGATGTCACTACAGACGGAGACAATCGAAACGATGATGTTGATCACATTCAAGAGGTTGGCAGTGATTAAATCGATGGTGAGGATTTTGACCTAGAATTTAGATGGGAATTTTTAAAACGAAAGAGTAGTTTGATGCAGAATCGGGTTAAATGGTCAAGAATGGTCGGGATACTTTAACTTGACGACTGAGAAATATATTGAAGCAGTGAAAATCGGCGGCGATACAGGCGGCGGAAGTACGGGCCACCGGGCTGGGACACGTGGTGCCTGGAGGGTTAGGAGCTCAAGCACAGTCTGCAGCTGCGTATAATGCTCAGACCACTAGGGATGAGGACAAGGCCAAGCTTGGAGACATTTTGACCGTAAATTCAAAATTTCGCAAAATTTTGAATTTGATTATTAAAATAATTTCGAAATGTTGGTATTAATCGCGACAAGTTGTTTTGATTTGCAGGATGCAACCTTAAAAATGGCGGGGGACAAGGCTGTGACGAGGGAAGATGCGGAGGGAGTAATATATGCCGAGATTAGGAATAAGCAGGAGGACATGGCCACCCATCCTGGTGGTGTCGCCGCCTCTGTGGCCGCGGCGGCAAGGCTTAATCAAGAAAAGTGAATCACTGTCGTATCTAGTTCTATGTTTGTACGTACATGACTCTAGTTGGAAGTATCTTTTGTTTTGTATGTAGTATGTACATATATATGTAGTGTAGGGGGTTTTGTGACAGTTGGAAGTTTTGTTGAGAATGTGGGTCGGTCTACGCTTTTTGTGTGTAAATGTAGGATGACTATTCTCAAGGTATATATTGCAGTACTGTTTGCATTCTCTTGTGAGATTTGAAATAGTGCCGTTATCAATTAAATTAGGAAATTGAGAAACCAATTATAAATTAAACCTAAATAAAACCCTGGGTTTTTTATGTGAGAGAGAATTCTGTATGTGTGTTTTTTTTTTTTTTTTTTTTTTTTTTGAATGAATTGGTTTCTTTTCAAACAACACATCTATGAAATAATTATTTACAAACAATATATTTATTCATGAAAAGATCAACTGAAATAATTATTTACAAACAACATATTTATTCATCAAAGGACATTCGAGTCCTTTCTATCAATTTTCGGGCGGATTTAACTAGACATTCAAGAGTCCTTCGATAATATTAAAGTATCAGACTGCTATTCTGAAAAACTATCGGGTATCAATGTTATGGTTATTTCTTTTATATGGAGGTGCTCCATAGATTATATTGAAATTTCCCTTTGGTTTCATCTTTTTTATGACATGGTTCATTGTGTATTTTTTTAGGTGTTTTCACCACCCCCTTCCCCATCAATTCAATGGGAACATAATAATAATAAAAAAAAAATAAAAAATAAAAAAATAATAAAAAATAAAGATCATTTTCAAACATACGTCCAATGTCACATATTTAGAGTTCAAGAGATTATGGGAAAAAATAACATTCTATCCATTAACCCTCATTCGGCATCCTGCAGTTATACTAAGACCTTGGTGACACAAATTACCATCAAATCCTAAACTTAAATTGAAAAAAGGAATAAGAAAACATTCCTTCAAGCTAAATCGAATATACTTGATCAATAAAAATCCAACCCAAAATGCAAAACCATCCGACCAACAAAAAATGGTAAATAATGTTTCAAACTCATTGATCCTTTA